TTTCTCCATAATTGAACCTCTGGTCAACGAAACAAAAGTAATATTCAAATCACATTTTGATTGTGGGATTGTCAGCAAAGTAAAGGTGTATTTGCTACTCCGAATTTACTCTGATTTAATTTCAGCTCATGTGAAAAGGAATCATTTTAGATGAGCGCAAATATTCGTATTTCATATCACCTTCTCTAGCCTAAAGTGAATGTCCTCTCAATCAAGAACTATTCACACTTTTCATATCGAATCAATCCGAATATAAGTAGTATAGTCGATTTTAACAGCAAATTCAAGTCTGCCTAAAACGAAATCTCAGTAGATAAGTTTTTCATTGGAAAGGCCTAGTTAAACTGCACTAGCTTAGCCCGAGTTCGAGCCCCGTTGTGGGTTGAGGGATGTCAAAATTGCAGTTCAGTCCACCTCAGGCGAGATAAGAATACATTTTTGAAGTGACCCAAAGTGAAGGTCAACTTTATGGCAGACGGTGACAATCCATCCTACAGCACTAAGCGTTCTTATTAATAGGCATTTACTTTTTGCTCTTCTTGACGCAAAAATGCAAAAGGGTCATATTCTGTCTAAAGAAGAAGGAGAGAGCTTTATGGATCTATCATTGGATGGTTGTGTGGGATATTTAATCTCCCAATTAAGGTTGAATACTGTTCTTCAGTCTCGAGAGGTTAGAAGCTGTCGTACAGAGACTGGCTTCAAATCCAGCGGGAGGGAAGTCGGAAAAAAAGACGTGACAGCCAGTTTTTAGAGTAGAACTTAGTCCCAACGGCCAGGATTGCAGCACTGTGAGGACCCTAAACTTATATGGTATTCCACTAGAATAGCTTCAAGAATCAAGTCCCGCCTATCAAATCAAATGCGATAACGGTCTTTCTGTTGGCCGAAATAGCGTATCCAAAATAGATGCATTCGATCTAAGCAATGAAATCTTTTTTCATTTTTCGTATGGACGTTTCGAGACTATCAGTAAATCAGTAGTATGAGATGTATTCACTACATTTCGCTCAAGCTGATAATTTGAGTAGAGCTGACGTTTCAAATCAATTTCACAAATAAGTTTTGTTTCGAGACTACCAGTAAATCAGTAGTATGAAATGTATTCACCCAATTTGGTTTAAGGTGATCAAGGTCGAGTAGTTGAATTTTCTCACAATCATTTGATTAGAGCTGACGTTTCCAGTCAGTTTCACACATAATAATTATTTTTTTATACTACTAGTAAATTAGTAGTATGAGATGTATTTACTCAATTTCGCTTAAGCTAATGATTTGCTTAGAGCTGACGTTTCCATTGAATTTCTAAGTGCCAAGCTTTGTCAAAAGTTGTTCGCGTCTAGAGTTTGTTTCATAATTGTAAATAGGTTCTTGGCAAAAGACCTAGTCTCACTTGTATGCTAAAGATCGTTTAAGGAGTATTAGAGGACTTTTACCTGTAATCTGGATGGGAACAACTATTGCGAAAGCAGGACTCTGTGAAATTGAATGGAAACGTCAGCTCTACTCGTGGCATTGTGGGAAAATTCTCCTACCAGTTCTTCATCACCTTACACGAAATCGGCTGAATACACGTCATACTACTGATTTACTGTTAGTCTTGAAATAATACTTGTATGTGAAATTTATGTGAAACGTCAGCTTTACTCAAATGATTGTGAGAAAATTCAACTACTCGACCTTCATCCGCTTAAACGAAATGTGGTGAATACATGTCATACTACTGAATTACTGGTAGTCTCGAAACTCTACTTAAATACGAAAATAAGAATGCAATAGCTCGATTCAAGATACTTTTCATTACAGCTCTTTACTTCCACCTTTCGAAGTGAAATATAATCGTAAAAGTTAATCCAACTTACTCTGCATAAATTAAGGGCTACTTGTGTCGTAGCTTGCGCTCGTCTTTTTTCTGTGGGTATTTTTCCATTTCGTTTGGCCCCTAGAACTCGAAACGAACAAGTCTTCTGTCTCTAACGCCTCAGACTGTCAAAATGGCTTAGGACGGCCCGGCTACGGTAGGGTACCGGTTAGCTCTGGCGGAAGCCTATTCTTGGACGCATGTGACTTGGCCGTCGGCCTCAATCGCTTTTTTCTCGGAGCCAATTCACCCTGGCCTCAGCGGTTTGCACCTTTTGACACGATCAACCTAACCTGGTCATGCTTAAGCCCTTGCTTGAACCGGAAATTGTGGTTCCTGGACACGGTTGGAAATCGCGCATAGCTCCTCGGAATTGCTGTGATCAATGACCGCTAGAATGGTATCTATAATGCATATTTATTGAGATCGTTTGCAAGGGATTAGTCGTTGGAAAAGCATACAATCTAGATCGTATATGCGCCAAATTAGATGCAGCATCTCTTAAATAGCTTCGCCCTTATGCGATGCAGGAGGCTGGACGCAAAAAAGTGACTGTGTATGAATAGACACTCACAAAATCAGACACTTATGCTCTCGTTAAAAGTCTGTCTACTACTTTTCGTAGAATGTAGTCTGGGAACATGTCAGGAAAACTGGGGCACTTGTTGGCTCATGTCACTTTGAATTGAAAGTAAAGCCAATCGCATGCTTGAAGGACACACTTCCATTTCAAGCAATCGTCTTGAGGGTGAGCGAGAGAAGAAGGCTGGATCGGACTCGTGTCTAGCTAGTGATTGTCATACTAAACGTGACATTAGCATTACATACACACAAGAGACAACAGCACAAGCCCAAACATTAGCATTAGACGATGGTACATTAGTGTTTGTGTGTCATCAAACAGCTGCCACCGCCCACACGTCCGGTTCGGGAAGTCAACTTTACACATTTGGCAGCAGGTAGAGTAAATATGGCATAATTCATTAAGATCGCGAAATAAGTTTGGTATAGTTTTACTCTATTTCGTAAAGTATAGAATCTTGCTTTGATTATCTTCATGGTACCGACAAAATATTTGTTCAAATTTACCGACGAAAGTTTGGCTCGATAGTACAAACGAAATCTTGGCTCGATTGTACCGACAAAAGCTTGGCTCGATGGTACAGACGAAAGTTAAGCTCGATTGTTCCGACGAAAGCTTAACTCGATTGTACCGACGAAATCTTTGTTCGACGGTACCGACGAAAGCTTGGCTAGATTGTACCGACGAAATCTTTGTTCAACTGTACTGACGAAAGTTTGGCTCGATGGTACAGACGAAAGCTTGGTTCGATGGTACCGACGAAAATTTAGCTTGATTGTTCCGACGAAAGCTCGGCTCGATTGTACCGACGAAAGCTTGGCTCAATCGTACCAACGAAATCTTTGTTCGACGGTAACGACGAAAGCTTGGCTCGATGGTACAGACGAAAGCTTGGCTCATTAGTACCGACTATGTCTTTGTTCAAAGTTACCGACGAATGCTGGATGGTTCAGACAAAAATTTTTAACCTTTTTTCGTCGGAGTCGCAGGCTGTTGAGCTGAGAACTTCTTTGCACAATTCAGTAGTCTTCTTTACGCGACAATCCTTCTTTACTTTTTGGTGAGACCAGATCACGAATTCCTTCCAACTAACATTCCCCTTAAAATGGATGTTCCCATCACCGCACTAAATCCCATTTTTCTGATTTTCAAAAAATGTACTAATCCGTCCTTAAGATTCACACCATAAGCGAGCCATGCTGATTAAGTTCTTATTCAACAATTACTGTCAGTTTTCACGGCTTCCCTCACACTCACACATCACTCACATTCAGAATAATCATCAGAGAACAACGACCGAAGAATACCATTCAATGCTCATGTATTGTTTGAAAAGACTGAGGCGGCGAGCAGGGAGAAGCTTAGAAAAGTAATGTGGAACTGTCTAGAAATCCTTGCTCATGATTCATTCAATCAATTAATAAAATGAGCAGCAGACCAATGCATGACAATAACTCGAAATGGTCATCTTCGAATCTTTAAAATACTGGCGGGTTTCCGACAAATCCCAGAAATATGATAACGTGACTTTGCTGTCTTTTTCGACGGCAAAGTTGATTAGAAAACTTTTGTGAAT